CCCCAAAACCCCAAAACCCCAAAACCCCAAAACCCCAAAACCCCAAAACCCCGCATGGATGAGAGACTATTGAATGGCACAAATATCTTAGAACTTGCCTTCGAACGAGATTCCGAGAGGATGAGGGTTGTTGTGCAAGATGGCCTTGTCTCCTAAGTCGACTGCTGATGAGAGAGTCAGGGTGGTTCCGTTGTTGAACTTGTGGGCCCAGCTCACTCCGAAAAGTCCTGCTGATGAAATCTTAGCCTTCCAGCTTGATCCGTCTCCGAGCGAGTGGGAGAAGCCTGCAGTTGCGCTTAAGTTCTTGTCAGCGTGAGAGTATCCAACCTTAGTGGCGATAGAGGTATCAGCATTGACATCTTGCAAAGTGTACAGGGTCAAGTCTCCGAATCTCTTTCCTTCTTCTCCCTCAGTCTTGACTCCCCATGAGAGGTTGTCGCCGATGCGGCCCAAGAAGCCCAAGGCGTATCTGGTAAGATTGGTTTTCTTATAGTCCAATGTGGATTCTCCTCCGAACACAAAATCTTTGTCTGGTTGTGGCTTGAAGGCGAATTCGTGTTGAACGGTTCCGCTTCTTCCGTGATCCCAAGTGGTTTTGGCTTCGATGTTGTCTTGCTTGAAGGATACTCCAGAAGTGAAGGCATTGTGATCGAAAGTCTTTCCGTTGGCAAGTGAGGCATCAAGATGATAGCTCCATCCCTTCAAGTTGTCGTTCTGGTGGCCGAGCTCATATTCAGTGTCAACAGTGAGCTTGCCTCCGGACTTGACCTTTCCTTCTTGGGTCAAACCGTGGTTGCTATACTTGTACTTAAGCTCGATGGCGTTCTTGCTTTGACCATCTTCTCCTGGCTTAGACTGGTCGAGCTTGAAGGCGTACTCGGTGGACTTGTCTTGAGCCTTGGTCTTAAGCTTGACAAGGTAGTTTTTGTCGTAGACATATCCCTCATCGAGGACATCAGTCGAGAATCTGAAGAAGTCGCCCCAGTTGGTAAATTTGCTCATTTATAATATTTTATTTATAAATTATATTAGGTCCATTGCTTATATTCATATGGGGTTTTGGGGTTTTGGGGTTTTGGGGTTTTGGGGTTTTGGGGTTTTGGGG